CCCTTTCCTCTCCCTCCTTTCCCTCTCTCTGTTTTTATCCCTCTGTCTCTATCTCTCCATCTCTGTCTCTCTGTCCGTGTTTCTCTCTTTCACTGCGTGTGTGTGTGTGTGTGTGTGTGTGTGTGTGTGTGTGTGTGTGTGTGTTTAGGCTTAGGAGTCACCATTATTTAAAGGGCTATGTGAGAAAATCAGCTCTCTTGCTTGGTTCTCTTGAAATCTCAGAGGCACATTCAGCAGGGCTAGAAATTTTTATTCCTTATAATGATTTTTTTTAACCAATAAATATTAACCAAGTTCTAACTGATTGGAGATTTGTAAATCAATGGGAGAGGGTTCTTGCTAAATAATGAGGAATTCAATTTATAAGGTTTAAGTGTCCAGTGCATATTAACATAAAATGATATATACTGCAAATTTAAAAAAAAAAAAAAGCAATGTCCCTTCTCCCTAAGTAGCTTACAATCTAGTATGTTCTTCAAAGCAACAAAAGTAGATGATTTAACCCTATTTGAAGAAAAATAATCAAAGCTGTGAAGCAAGAAGAATGAATACTGGTAAGTTATCCACATAGGAGGGTGAACTGTACATATTTATGACTAATAACAGCACAGTCTCCTCATCTTTGTTTAGATTCCAACTCAGTCATGGAAATTATTTATGTTAGATATATAAAAATACTGCATCAGATCTAATGCTTGCCGTGTGGGAAACTCACTCTAAATGGGACCATAATACGAAACTTTGTGACAGGGTCTACAAGCTTCTCAGATTTGGCATGGTAATATGAGGGTCTATGGGCTGAAGTACTCTATAGAATTACATAATAATTTTACCAAAAAAGAGAGAATTAAGAAATTAACAGAGAATTGTCTTTACAACATCTTTAAATGTTTTATCACTGGTCAGACTTTTTAACTGTAAATAATAACCCTAGAAAGAAAACTGTAAATGACAAATATTCCTCCATATAAAACTCATGAAAATGAACACTTTTGTGAAGTGGTTCTAAAAAGGAGAACATAGCAAAGGCTTACCTATGCTATATCAACTTCAAACATCGAAGAGCCAAAATGGAAGTCAAAATTGTTTAGGTTAATTTGGACATTTAAAAACAACTGAGAGGCAAAAAAGCTGAACTGTCTTTCAGGATCAAACTGCTGGTTGAAAATCTAGGCTTTAATACCAGTTCTTCTGTCAGCCCATCCTGTGTTCTTGTATTAATACTACCAGAGCCCATTTATCATTGTTGTGCTGCAGACAAGGTGCCTTAATGTGACTCAGGCATCAAACTCCACGACTATGTGAAAGACCTTACCATCTCCACTTCTATACAGTCAAAATTCACTTCCCCTACTCCCCTTTCCACCCCATCTCCAATAGCAAATACTTTAAAGCTTTCTTAGTACTATTTTGCTTAAATAAGAAAATCATTAGAGATAAGTCTACTCTTTAAAAACTTAATTTTATAAGTTATGTAATTAGAAAGTCAAATTAAGAACTTTACAATTCTAATACAAACTGTGTCTTCTAGTGTGCCTTGTTTGTTTTCCCATGTAACTCAGGTACTCATATATCTTCCTTACAGAGTTGTAAATTCTGCCCCATCCCTTCCTTATTTTTTTCTCTTCTACCCTGAATTCCCCAGATTCCCAACATACACATTCAACCTGTAAGGGTATGGGAAGGGGGGAGACCTTAGGGGAGTGTTTTTTTTTTCTTAGTTTTAATACAGATAAGTGAATTTCCTGATTTATACCAAAATCTCTAGAGATTTTGGATAATAGAATAGTGAAGAACTGATATGAGATACGGCATTCTCTGCCACTCAGTAAGTAGTTCATAACTCACTGGAGACTGAAAAGCTCCATTTAAGACATTAATACAAAGACTTGAAAAGAATGTCAATAGCTCACTTTGCCTACAGATTAAAGAAATAGCACATGGGTATAGAATAGATTAATTCCAAAGTTGCTGAGTTTAGATAAATAAATAAATAGAACAAAAGATAAAATTACACAGGCCAAAGTCATACATATACATATTCTATATCTGCACAATGCACCTTTATATTTTGAACAGAAACATTTTATGAATAGCACTTAGTTGCATTTTTATAAGGTTTTAAAAAATCTAGTCTTTAAACATTTGACTTTCATTTAGTCTGATCTTTCTCTAATTATAAGATGATTCTAAGAAAAATATCTGTTGCAAGTATCCTAGGTTCAGAGTGGTCCTCCAGAGGTCGTTAGACTGGACTAACGACATTTAGAAATATCTTCAGAACTAAGTGGACTGTCACCACCAAACTGTCACCTCCATGAAAGGAGAAAAGCAATAATCAATCATCTTTCACTGCACAACATATATTTAAAATGCAGAATGCAGATGCTCCCATAAATTTCATGTCAGTAGTTTTTTCATATTACAATTTATGTGTAACAAACAAATACCCTGGTAGTCTGGAATAATTAATATGGCTTCCAAGACTTGTGCCTTACAGGGTTTATGGCACAGCTATGGAGAAGTAAAGATCTATTTTTCAGTAGGATCTCTCTCCTTTTTTTCCTTAAGTAATATGTTTGCTTGGTTTTAAAGTAATGTTTCTCTTTCTCCTCGAAATCTGTACTTAACCAGTAAGTAACACAAAATGGCCCTTCTTTTTTTTGTGTATAAAAAGTTATAAGGTTCACATAAGTCAATCATTAAACTTTGTCTTATAATTACAGTATAGATGATTTTGATAATAACCCGAGTCAAGCTGTATTTAACATGAACTTAATATCCCACTCAAATTTATTTTTAAAAATTGGCATTTCTAGTTTATGAACACAGTAAAGTAAAGAACTAAAGGTTTAGTTCAGGTTGAAAACAAATGTGAGGCGATCCCTTCGATAATACGTTAAATATTTTAAAAGCACTAATAACTCAGGTGCTTTTATAAAGTATGGTTGATTTATTAATAGCTGTCTGGGTAGACCCTTCAAAACACTATTTATCATATACTGCACAATATTACATCTTTCATAAAAAACAAAGAATAATCCCATTTCATTTGGTCATAGTTTGAGAAGCATCTGTTCCTCTTTGGTTTAATTCTTCATTCTGTGTAAGTAGACTTGATGTTTTTAAACATATTTCTCAATTAAAGTGTATTTTATTTATCTGTGTGTATAAACAGAGCCAAAGGGATGTCTCTCTTTCTCCATTCCCTATTACTGACTATCTCTTGCAAGAGAAAACTGCTAATAATTTAGAAGTTATGAATTTGTAAGCCTTTGAATTTCTGTATTATTCATTAATCTGATTATCATGCTATGTATGTCACTGCTTAAATGTACAACATGGCAGGGCTAGAAAAAAGAATAAGGTATTTTACTTTAACATCAATTTGTCGATTAATGCCTTCTTAGTAAAACCACAGCCTATTACTTATGAGCAAAGGCCGTGGAATCGAAATGGATTTAAATTCTGGACCCATTGTTTATTGCATAGGTGACCTTGAAGACTTCCTCATTTGTGAAATATGGATAATGAGAGTAGCTTCCTCGTAGCACATGTCACAGGATTATCTAAGACAAGACATATAAGGCACTAACATATTGCCTGTCACTATAGTAGTCATCATTTACTAATGGTCATTTAATTTACATTATTATTTAAACATTAGTTCCATAATTTTACATATTCATATTACCACATGTTTTAACTGTACGATATGTCTCAATTTTATTCATAAATACATTTAATATATAGTTTGATATATATTACTGTAATACAGTACACACATATTTACTCAAGAATGCACAAATATGATTATGACGTTTTCCTACTGAATCCATATATCTACTGTTTTAACAACTTTATGAGTAGTTATATATTTAGGAAGTCAAACTAAACAAGAGCTTCACATTGTCTTCTAGTGTTTCTTGTTTTGGATAATACATGATCCAATAGCTAAAAGAAATTTAAGTCATGTGCAGTTTAACAATGGGATATGTTCTGAGAATTTAGTCATCAGGCAATTTCGTCATTGTGCAAACATCACAGAGTGCACTTACACATACCTAGATGGTGGAGCCTACTACACACCTAGGCTACATGGTATCACCTATTGCTCCTAGGCTACAACCTGTAGAGTATGTGACTGTGTTGAAAACTGTCGGTAACATGGCACAACAATATTTATGTATCTAAACGTATCTAAACATATGAAAGGTACAGTAAAAATATGGTATAAAAGATTAAAAATGGTACACTCATATTGGGTACTAACCATGAATGAAGCCTGCAGGGCTGGAAGTTGCTCTGGATGAGTCAGTGAGTGAATGGTGAATGAATGTGAAGGCCTAGGACATTACTGTACACCACAGTAGACTTTAGAAACAGTATATGCATAGGCTACATGACATTTTATAAATCTTTTTCAATAATAAATTAACCTAGGATTCATGTAATTTTTTTATTTTATGAACTTTTAAATTTTCTTAACTTTTTGACACTTGTACAACATTTAGCTGAAAACACAAATACATTGTACAGCTATACAAAAATATTTTTTCCTTATTCTATAACCTTTTGTTATTTATTATTTATTTATTTATTACTCTTTAAACTTTTTGTTAAAAGCTAAGACAAAAACACCCACTTTAGCCTAGGCCTATACAGAGTCAGAGTCAGGATCATCAGGATGTCACTAGGCAATGGGAACATTTTAGCTACATCACAGTCTTACAAGACCACTGTCATGAATGCAGTTGTCATTGACCAAAAGTCATTATGCAGCACATGATCATATTCATTTTGCCATATAGCTAGCACATTTGTCTTTCCTGTGGAATTGTACAATATTCCCCCATTCTGCTGGACCCTCGTGATTTCCCAGTGTATTTACTAAGCTTCACAAACTACTGTGAGAATGCTGGTTCGGTGTTGACTTTATATAAAATTAAAATTCATTTTCACATGAAATTAACATAAGTATTTAAAACTGAGTTACATACCTGAATTCAAAAAAGGCAGGTTATCTTTTCCGCTCACACTTTCTGGGGCTGTATATTCACATACCAGGGCACACTAGGAATAAAATGTAAAAAAAAAAAAATTGGAAAATAATTAAAACAAGAAATGATATTCTCTTATTTTCTTTGCAAAACATGAGGCTATGTACATGATCTCAAAAGTTTTGAATACTTTTATAAAACTATTTCTAGCCTTATCTTTACTATGAAGAGTGTTTAACTTGTGATTTACTAAATATATGTATAATATGCTTATACAATGATAGAGGCTACTCAGGGAAGAAATTAAAGAGAAAAAGGACTATCTCCAACATGCTAGAGATATGTTCCCCTAGCACAGTAAATCATATTTGACAAGCTGAATCATTTTGTATTTCTTTCACCTGAGCTAATTTCAGATCAATAGAAAGCAAATTATTTTCAAGAGTTTAAGTAATTGCAACTTTAAATAAAAGACAAAATATGTTAAAGCCACTAATTACATAGGGCAAAAGAATATTTGGTCTCCAGAAAAACAATGCAAACACTTGCTCAAAAAGTATGAGGACCATTTATAAATGAGCTGATCTCTAGAATCCATAATGAATTGATTCAGCTCTTGACCTTTCCTGTACTGTCGATCTCTCAACAGAAAGAGAGAAGAGACACAGGCACGCACACAGACATGTTCCTAGTGAATGAACAATGATGAGAGAGAATGTCCCAGACAATTTCTCACTAAATGTGGTACTCTCCCTCAGTGTCGTATGAAACTTTAATGGAAAGAGGAAATAGAATTCTTTTGGCCCCAGGAATTGGACAAGATCTATTTTCACATAGGGAGACTCTAGCATTTGTGTCTTTAAGTGAGTTTCCTTTTTTCTCTAGAAAACATAGGGGCTGGGGTGGGGGCAGGGAAAAGAAGAGAATGAATTTTCAAAGCAAATATATTAGATATAAACAAGTAAATGCAAAGAAAACAAAGCAAACATACACACAAAAATTGCAGAAAGTTATTTTGGTGACAAGGTCTAAGGGAACCAGTCAACCTTCTGTAAGTTTTGCCTGGTTCTGCTCAAGGGTCTCTGAGGGCTCAGACCAGCTTCTCCAAGGTTGTATCAGCCTTGGTTGAGCTATTTTCCAACTGTTCTGTCTTCCTCCACTTCTCTCTCCCCAGGCACTGGCCACCCTTGAGAATCATAGACACTGAGGTCACTTTGAGCAATGGAATATACACATTCCTCCAACATTTTGAGGAAGAAGGACAAAGAATTCAAAACACTGATCTAAATGTTACTTTCTATTTTCTTATAGTCTACTGCTTATTCCACAATCACAACATTCTCAGGAAATTTCTTGATGGGAAGCAAAAGTGCTTTCATAATTTCTTTATTGAGGTCCTAGTTGACTGAAAGAATGAATGACTGAAAATAGCTCTTAAAATTTGATGTTCTCTAAATCACATTTCTGACCATCCAGAAGTCAGAGGTGCACTTTTTTAATCCACAGCTAGTTTGTAAATGCACTTCCCAAATCTCTAGAATGATGCTCAGTGATACTAGAAATATCAAAAAATTATAATTTATTCTTTTTTTAACATTTCCTCTAATTCCTTTATCTTATATATGGCTGTTGAAATAATTTTTCATCAATATTATATTCATTGTATCAGTGTTCTACTCTATAAGGAATAATAACTACTTACTGTCCAGTCAAATCCAATATTCTCAGGCTAGTCTACAGATCCTTTCATAATTTGCTCCTGACACCCTTCCACATAATAAGCAAGTATTATATATGCCTATGAGCCACCCTTCTTTCCAAAAGAGGATCATCATCTACAATATAACTTACAGAAATGGTTCAGGTTGAATACATTTAATGAAAACATTCATAATTCATAAAAATCAGGCCATTATGCTGAGACATTGCTTTCCTATATGGAATGATCCCTACCTCCTTATAATCAAAGACAACTTTATTTCCTAACAGAAGATCTGTATCATTTTACTAAATGAGTAAACAAATACGGCTTTCATACACTCATCTCTTTCATCCAATTTAGAAGGCAGATATTTAGGACAATTTCAACCTAATTGCATTCTTATTTTGCAATTTTACTGTAGTTTAAAAGTTTATTAATTATTCAGAATATTTTTAAGTTTTGAAATCATGGTATATAAACAGAAAATACTCAAACATGTATTAATTAATATATTCATATTTAGAATCAGTATTTTCTTCAGTTTGGTGCTTGAGTTGTATATACTCTACGTTTTTACTCAGATTGCTTTATTTCAAACCAATAACCATATTCCTATTTCTTTTACTTATTTATTTTTCAACTGACTCTAGACTCACTTCATACTGCACTAGATACTAGAGAATGTAAGATAAAAATTATGTGGAACTGTGTTTAAAGAGGCTCAAACTCTAGCTGCTGTTATTTAGTCTTATTATGGTGGATATTTGCAGTGCTACTTACATAGCATGTACTCTCAGTATGATGACTCCACATTTGTGATTCTGAGCAGCAGCAGCAAATGCCACATGCTTTTTGTGCTACATATAGCACTATAAGCCTCTTGACTTTAATGAAAGCTTTAAAAACTGTCATTTGATTGCAACTGGTCAAGGGGGAAAAATCCCATAGCTATGTAAAACTCTTGGGGCTTAATCATTTTGAATATCATATCAATTTAGCATGCATTGAGCTGGAAAACCAGTCAAATTTTAAGAAATGATCATAAATCTCTGTGTAAATACACCAAAGACCAATACTTGGCAAAGCACTTCTTAATAAATATATTAGGTATGCCTTAAGTCATCATTCTCAAAGTTTGGTCCAGAGTTTCCCAAAAGACTCTGGTAACTCTGCACTTTGCACAGAGCCAAGATAAAACTATTTTCACAATACTACTAAAGAGTTGTCTTCTTTCCTCTCTTTTTCCTAAGAAGAATATGGTGAAATTTTCTAGAGGCTATATGATAACCATTTGATGGTCAACAAAATGTGTGATTGTATACTTTTGTGTTTTAAACATTCTTATTTTAATTTCTATAATATCTATTCTTAATATGTCTTAAATTATCTATATAGTTCAAATAAGTAAAATCTCTAATAGAGTAAATATTTAGAGATGAAATCTAATATAGTAAATACCTAGAGATGAAATCCATATAAATATACATTTTACACATAAAATATGAGAACTGCTGTGTTTATGTGATCTCATTCAGTTTCATAACTTTAAATATCATCGAAATACCATCCTGTGACATACAAATATATAAATCTAGCTTGGACATTTTCTTGGAATCCCAGCCTTAAACTTTCAACTGCTTACTTACATTGGCACTTGGACATCTAAGAGGAATTTCAAACTTAAAATCTAAGAATCTCCTGCCCTCCTCCACGTGCTTCTTCCAGTTCTCCTTACCACAAGAAATAATTCTACTTTTTCACTGTCCTTTTCCTATGGAATCTGAGACCATGGCATCTGAGCATTTCTCCATCAATATCATCCTTCACTTCTGCCTGAGTTTTGCAATAACCTCTGAACCAGGACTCATTCTTCTGCTCTTACTTCCTTGGGCATTTCTCAACACTGCAGCCAGAATGATTCTCTTAAAACACAAGTCAGATCATGTCAATACTAAGCTCAAAATCCCCCTTTGTTTGACATTTAGCTCAGAGTATCATGGCTTGCAGGGGAGTACACAATCTGTTTCTCCCTGCCCCATGAATCTCTGCCCTCAACTCCAACCAATCCTCCTCGACACCTTAGATCCAGTCACACTGGCCTACTTGGTGCTCCTTCAACAAAACAAGCATACAGCCACCTCAGGTCCTTTGCTCTTGCTAGTCATGCTACCTAGAATTCTTATTCCTGCCATCTCTCTCTGTCTCACTCCCTTATTTTCTGAGAGTTTCCACTCAAACATCCCATTACCAGTTAATCGTTTTTTGACCAGCTAGTATGAATAACCATGACTAAGCACCACCTATTCCTTTTATCCTTTTTATCTGTACGGCAGATAGCACCAATCAATAACATATTACCTGTTATTTTAATGGTTTACTTCCCCTGAAGATAGCATCTGTGTCTCTCCGGTTCATTGCTAAATCCCCAGAACGTAGTAGAATCCTTAGAATTTAGTAGGTGATATTTCTTGACAAATAAATGATGAATATCAATTACCTACAAATATTCTCTATAAGGTAAGGCTGGTTATAATATTTTCAATTTTATATTTGGAGGAAATAAGGGGATGAGACCCTCTGAGACTGGTCATTAGCTACCCAAAGACTCCACCTTTCCTCTGAGCACTGCTGATAGAAGTACAAAGAACAGGGGCAAGATGACCTGAGAAAAGCAGAAGGTTTTCAAAAGGGGATGTGTTAGAATTCCACTTCTACTATTTTTGCTGATATCATACATAATTAAGTCATTTTCTTTTCTTTTATAGAAATCACAATCACAATCCCTTTGGTCACTAGTACTATGCCACATTGAAATATAACACAGATCTTAAAGTAACAGGAGGGACAAGGCAGGAGCTGAACTAAACTAAGCCTCTCCGGTGCCTCACTGCTGGATGCTCCCAACAATGCTTCAACCCTGACAGGAAGCTGATCATCTCTGTTGCAGGCAAAGAAGGACTGTGCACGACGGGAGGACTCTTCCTGTCTCAGGCAATCCTTTTGGCTGCTACTTACTAGATTTTCTTATTTTTCACCTGATTTGATTACTTTTCACCTGATTATTTGCTTCCTACTTATCCTTTCTCTAATAGCATTGTCTTTGACTACTCCAAATTGGTTTCTTTAATCCTACACTCTTCACTACATGCCATCTTTATTTATTGATCCACCAATTACTAAAGAGTTATATGCATCCACATATTCTCTCTTCTATAGGATAATTTTGAACTTTACTTCTTTAAAGTAAAATTGACTTCATTTATTTATTTCTGAGTTAGACTGTTTTAGGCACTGGGGAAGAAGGAGAGAGCAAGAACAGACAAATCGTTTTGTCTCATGAAGTTTAATACTAGTGTGGAATATAAACCACA